ATTTTGCTACCTGAAATTCATTAGCCAAGAGCTGCAATGTTGACATGGGAGCTGTGGTCGTGTTTCTTCCCTGGCACATGCCCATCACGGGGGACTCTGGGTCAGCCAACTTGGGTATCTGACATCCAGCTTAGGCCACATGCTAGAAAGCAGCCCGGGTAGCAGATAAGCAGAATTTCCAGCCCGTTTTGTGGCATTCTGGAAAACAAAAAGAGAAAAGCCATTGATCTCGGCTCACACAAGAGTGATTTCAATGAGTGTCTGTGGGTGAAARGCTTCAGGTACCATCTAAGGACAGTACTTTACACAGAACAAACACTTTACATTACTAAGTAATTTAACCCTTTAACACTTTTGCATTATGTTAAAATTCATGTKTTGGGGCTTTTTAATATTTTTGTTTTGCTTTATTCAGAAATTGTTTTACGATTAAGGGAGTTAGGAAATGGGGTTTCGATTCTTTTAGGCTCACTGTTAACRAGGATACAGTTGTCTTCCAGAGAGCATTTCAAAGGACAGCTGATGAGAAGCAGATACTATCTGTTGATTCTCAGACATCTAGGAAAGAAACTTTGTCAAATAGTGGCCTAATTTATGTGATCCGGCCTCCTAAATGGCATGGAAATTTGTTGCAAGGCCTTGGCATAGCTCGGCTGTCTCCAAGGGCCGTATTCCCGAGGCGGCAGCGCTGGCACGTGGCTGAGGGCCCGCGAGGAGGAGGGCACTGAGTGTGGAGAGCTCTCTTCTCAGCAGCAACAACTCGGAGGCTGTTCTCACCTCGGAAACCCTATATTCCCTATCAAAAAAATACACAGAAATACGCAGATGGATCCCTATCCTTGGAATGTGCATTTTCCCCGCCATGCCTATTTATAAAAGGGCATGATGAATAAGTGGATAGACGAAATGAGTACAACTCAGACTATCTGGGTTGTATTCCCAGCTTTGTCTTCCCCTGGCTGTGTGTGGAACCACACACCCACACCCACAAAAGACAGAACCAAAGGTCAGCAAAGAAGCCCTTTGTGCCTCAGTTTCCCTGCGTCTTACACAATATCTAAGGATACTTACATAATAGGGCTGATGTCACTGGTGTCTGGAAAGCATGTTGAGCTAATTTCGTGGAGGGTGCTAACGAAGTGACTTGCATTATTAGTGCATTTCTGGCTGACTGAAATCCATGTGACACTTCTCACTTGATRTAGATTGTGTGTGGTAGCGTTTGTGTGTTGGTTTCAAAGAGGATGCCTTATARCCCTGCTTGATGCATAACGATTTATGATTAGAGCAGCTTCTAACCTGTGAGTTCCTCCCTCTTTCTTCGCTTTGTTAAGCAGCGCCTGGTTTCCTCACAGATCCCGCTGGCCAGGGCAGGATCCCATGTGCTCCTTACGGTGACGGGTGAGGCAGGAGGTGAAGGCTGTGCCTGTGTGGGGGTATGGGGACTAATTTCCTCTGCTCCCTGGAAGGCCAGTGTGACAAGCAGCTAAGGAATGCTAGGGGAAAGCAAACCGGTGTGAACACGAGCAGGTCGTGCCCAGGCTCACGTTGCCCCTTCCAGTTCTGCTTCCCATTGCAACGACCCCGGGAGGCAGCTGGGACCGCCCAAAGGCAGACAGGACCACGGCAAGGCCGTTATCCTGTTGTTGGGAGCATCGCGTTGCAGAGAGCAGAGGCTCCCGGGGATGTCTTGGCCAGCGGAGCTGAGTACAAAGCCGAGGGCTCCCCGGTAAGAGGCGCCTGTGTCTGCGCGGAGCGGCGCTCGGAGAGGAAGTTCGGGAGGAAATGAGTAAGTTTAAGAGCCCAGCGAGCGGCTCTGGGGCCGGCTGAGCAGGAGCTCGCCGAGGAAGTGTCGCAAGGGCCGGCTCCATGTGTGTGCTCTGCTCTGAAACCGCTCTCATGGCAAAAACATCCCGGATAGGAGTATCTGGGGGAAGCATAGCTGGATGAGTGCGCCATGGAGGAGGTTTTCCGTAGCTCAGGGYGAAGGGGAGGACGCGCAGGTCCTCYCCAGGGGTGCTCGCACCCGGCGAAGGGGGAGCACCGAGCGCGGCTCGAGCAAGTTGCTGATCTTTATCTTCTGCTCCGTCATGGCTTTCCCATGCCTCGCAAACCAACTGCTCGCGGTTAAGCTGTGCAGTGTGAGGTCTACCTCGGAGTGTCTGTCTTCAGGAATTTAAGATAACATTTYGAAAGGATTCATAATTACATTGATATTTATGAACTGTGGAGGTTYTCTGTTCCATGTGATATTTGCACTGGAGAATTTCACATGAAAAGCACGTGGCGGCATGTGTGCATTCTTAGGGCTTCATGTCTGTGTCTACATGCTTCTCATGCTTTGCAACTGCCTCGCGAGCAGTTGGATCCCTGGAAGAATGACATGACTGAGAAGGGCTTTCGAGTGGGAAAGGGGCAAAAAGGAAGCAAGGGGTGATCCCTACGGAAAGGGAGGAAATTAAATTGTGCATTCCATTGCTCACTGGATATCGGCTTGCTCTACCGTCTGTATCAACAACTCTTCACCTTTTGATTTTAAAATATTTCTGAAGGGGAAAAATTCCTCTGGGGCCATTGTCTTGTTCAAATCATTTTGTTCACCACTGCCTGACTATCAAAATACAGGGCATCAGTAATGGTTCCRGCCACAAGGATAAGGGGAATTGTCGACCTTTGTTTGCACAGCATCCATGTCTTTGGCAATTAGTTTTCAGCGCTGGTGTTTGTATTGTTTTGCAAGTATTGGCTTTAAATTTATGGGAAAAGAAAATTACGAAGGAGAGTGGTGGCTGAAGCCCATTCTTTGAGTATGAGGTCCTTGCAAAGACACTTGCAAAACAGCTGCTAGAATGAAATTTCAGTGGCTGCCTAGGGAGAGGATAGTTTGAATTGTAGTCAAAATTAGGATTGGTACAGCAGATTCTGTGTGGGTAGGACACGTGGAAAAGGAAATGCTCAGTATGGTATTTTTATTTGCAATGTGAAACTAACCCAAAATAATACTAGTGGGTATTAGATTCAGTGTGCTGCAGTGGTTCGGTTTCATGGGAGTGCAGAAAATAGTGCAGCCTATAACAGCAGCTTAAAGAATATTTCTGAGACATTATTTTAGAGGAATGACTGCAGTTGAAATACTAGTAGCAGCAAATACATGATGCTRTGGGTGTGGTACACATCTTTTATCATCCTGAATTCATGCTGTTCTAAATATATATAAATACAATCTTTAGAGACTTTGCATTAGTATTCATTGTATACCTATATAACGACTTGTTGAAGAGATTTTCTTAGCCATAGTTGGCTTTAAGAAGCATTGTAATGAAACCTTCATGTCTCTCACCTTTAATAATTCAAGAACTTCAGTGAGTGAAAGCAGAGGTGACTGAAGCAAATTTCTGGGTGCATCTGGGCAATTTGGGGCCATTTAGGGCCCTAGATAAGAGCAGCGTTTTTTGGATATGGGAGAGTTGGGTCTGATTCCACAGCTGAAAGTTAGGGAATTATTGAAGTCCTAATGCTGTCCAGAAAACAGGCCAACTAGATGCTCACCTATCTGCTCCCCAAGGAGTCTGGGGAGAAATAGGAGAAATCGGGCAAGTTGCGGTTTCCAATCTCTGTCAGCAAAGAGGAGGGGAAACTTTTGACGAAGCCTCTCAACTAACTTCCAGGGAAGCAAGAGAGTCCTCAGCATGGGCAGCGCTGGGATCCTTGTGCTGGGTGGAAAGGGAATGTCATTCCCTGGGTCAAGCCCCAGGCTAGGAACGTAGCCGCCTTCTGCCCCTGGCTCTGCCACTGGTTTCCTTGAAGAACTGAGCCAGCAGTTCATCGCTCTGGCCTCGTTTCTGTGTCCCCCTAACGGCGTTGTGACCCTTTCCTCCCCAGGGCCGGGAGGCTGGACGAGAGGGTGTTTGCTAAGCGAGCTCGCCGTGGCTCCGTGGGAGAGGAGCGGTGTCAACACGGCCCATCTTGCCAGAGGCAGGAGCTGAGGCCCCGGGCGCAGGGCTCCCAATGGGAGCTGCCGGCTGGGCCCAGTGCTCCCTGTGGGAGCTGCCAGGCGGGCACAGTGCTCCCAGTGGGAGCTGCCAGCCGGGTGCAGTGTTCCCAATGGGAGCTGCCAGGTGGGCACAGTGCTCCTCGTTTTGTGGGCAGCAGGCCCCGGCAGCGGGCGAGCGCAGCCCGGCCYGCTCCATGGCGTGGGCAGCAGGGCCGCAGGCCTTGGCCACCTCCATCCTTCCCTCTCCCTTCAAGTGAATGTGCCTGCTCTGCGTGCACCGTGGGTACTGCTGAATGCTCTCCTTGTGCATATATATCTGTATATATATATAAATATATATATATATATATATTGCACTCTTGCCTTCTGAACCTCTTTGAGCCCCTCGCCAGCCCCCTTGCTGTGTGGGCGCTGCAGCGGGCCCTTGCCAGCCTTTAGGTGACAAGTGCCACCTCGGCGCTGCTGGTGGCCAAGCACCTCAYGCCGCTTCCCCCCCCTCTCCCCCTCCTCTTCCATGGGAGAAGCGGGACAGCAGGTTCCCGGCGGATCCCCGTGCCCATTTGCCGCTTTCCGTCAGCTCTGGGCTTAGGGCAGAGCGGGAGCAGGGAACGGCGGCGCTCACCCGGACGCCGGGGCCCGCGCCTATAGGTAGAGACGCGCTGGGAGGTGGAACTGCGGTAGATGGGGCTGATTTATGACACGAGTTTCCTTTCCAGTCATAAGGGGAATTTTGCTTGGTCACAGCAAGCTTGAACCCTCATGAAAACAGCCTGAATCATTTGAAGTTAAAATAAAACAGAAAATGGCAGGGGGAGGGGCCTGGCTGCTTGCAGAAATAATAAAATAAATTAAATAACGTTCAATTTGTTTCCTTTGGTGCTGACTTCTTAAAGCGGAATGCGATCCAGAGTGGCTCTCGTGTGCAAGCCCACAGTTGTTTTAAGAATTTTTATTGTCTTCTCTCTCTCGTCCCGCTCCCCCCGGTGCCTCCCCCTCCGCTCTGCAGATTTACACCGACTGGGCTAACCACTACCTAGCAAAATCTGGCCACAAGCGGTTGATCAAGGATTTGCAACAGGACATTGCAGATGGAGTTCTGCTCGCAGAAATCATCCAGATCATCGGTAAGAGCAGTGCCGAGGGGAAGCAGCGCGAGCCGCCTCCTTGCGTGGGGGAATATATAATTCGAGTTGAATGTATTTAACAATAAGATGAACCCTGAATAATGCAAGCTGACTGGGTCCATATGTCTCTGATATTTGTGCGGTTCATCCTTGGCTTAATTAAAAAATATGTTTATGCGAGCATGTTTGGAAGTGGCTGTTTAACCATACTTTAAATGGCCAGAACTGTATCTTACACACTTTGAATTGTCAGAAATGAATGCTCCATTAAACCATATGTCTCCCATGTGTGCGTTTCGTTAGCTGGAGTGGCTCATACTTTCTGGGATGCCTTGAAACTGTATCCTGACCCTGCAAAGACAATTGTGGAAGATTTCATGTCAGCAGTTATTTTGCAGGGGCTGAAGAATTAGCAGCGACCTCCTTCGCACTTCCCCCTTTGCATGATTTGGCATGTGGAAGCAACTGCTGCTAACAAGAGTGTTGTTACTGTACGGCTGAGCTTTACTTAGAAAGGAGCTCTGTGTCAACAAAACCCCGTGCACTTCTCACTGCCTCCTCTCTTCCCTGCTTTCTCCTTTCCTTGGGGGGTCAGSGGGGAGAGGACGGTTTTGCCTCCTTGCTTACTCCTGCTTTCTCACCTCACTCTCTTTCTTTAGCAAATGAAAAGGTTGAAGATATCAATGGCTGCCCCCGGAGCCAGTCTCAAATGGTAAGAATGATATATATTTTTTAATTTGTGCTGGCACCTCTGCACTGTCCTAAAATGCTTTCTAATAATGATTTTTTTAAAACTGTGAATGCTCTCTCCCAGGTTTATCATAAAGTTGTAACTCTCATATAGTTTCTTGCTATTTTCCCCCCTACCCCATATGCCTAGTGTTTATTTTTGTGCTAACTTAGGGTTTCRAGGTAACCAGCAGCAAAACTTCACGAGCTCTAATTAACCCAGAAGTGCTTCAGCAGACCTGTTCTTCTCCTGATTATCCAGATAATTTAATTTGACTTCATTTTTAAGGGCAGTAAATCCAGGAAAAAAAAAAGTAAGTGGAGTCTTTGTGTCTGGAGAACTGGCTTGATGAGCAGGATTTGCCAAATTGTTTTTGAATATAAATAGCCTTTTGGATTGTCCTCTGCAAAGTCTAGTTAGATGCAGTGACTCCAGGATTTTCAGCAGCAGGGCTTTAGGCACATAGCTCTCTGAGCCATAGCTGCCAGCTACTCAGATAGTTTAATAGTCACAGGCAACTTGGGCTATGTGACTGTGATTCATATGTGAGCTTATTAATCTTTTACTGTCTCTATGGTTAGTAAACTACGTTAATAGGATAAAACTTCATTAGAAGGCTTTGGAACTGGCAGGTTCACAATCTGAGCCCCAACAACATCCTGTGCATTTACTGAGTCATTTACTGTTACCGTCTTGCTCACCGTGAGGACTTGGTCCGTCTGGGCACATCCAAGCACCTTATTCCCATGCTAGTTTTGCTGCTGGCCAGTTTTTTGGAGTATTATGATTTGGATGAGCTACATAATAGCAAATTGATGGAGCTGGACTTGAAAGTGGAACTGGAGATGAGGAGAAATTTTGCACTTTTTCAGTGGATTTTTTAAAGAGGGAAGGTATTTGCAGCCCTTTTTCTTCAAAGATGTGAAAAGTGAAAGGAAAGGTCTGGAGTACAATTAAATGAATAATTASGTTTTCCTGTTCTTCTAAGAAAAAAACAAGTGAGGCTTAGATGAGTTTCTTGTCTGGCTCTTGGACTTAGTACATAGCAAGAATATATGTGATTTCCTTAAGAGTAGTTATTATTTTAATTACTCATATTACAGCAACACCTAGTGGCCCCAGCTGAGAACTTTGGGAACTCCAATGTGGAACTAATATTTCACACACAGAGATCAAGAGATAATCGCTGACTTACAAACCTGCCATTCCAGAGAGACAAGTTAAACAAGAGGAGACAAAAGCACAGAAAAGTGATACAGCTTCCCAAGGTTATGTAACTGCTTAGCGACTGTCTAGGATTGCTGAGGGACCAGCCGCTCTTTGATGTCTTTCTAACTTGATTTCCCTGAGACACCGAACCCGGCTGCAGACAGAATTATTCACTCCGGTGATTTTTGTGCTTCTCCAAAACAACACAGTTTGTGTAAGCTTCCTGTTGATGGGTAAATATTTCTGTGGCACAGGGGTTCTGGATTTCCTTTCTTCTCTCCCCTGCATTTGTGGGGCAGCCTCATCACAAGCGACCCTTGTAGCTCAGTGCCTTCAAGGCCTTGCCTCTTCCCCTGCAAACCGTGCTCTTAGCTCAGCCAGACCAGAGGAGGTGGCTGAGATGCTCCAGTTCTCAGATGAGGTGCTTTGAATATTCCCATGTTCCCAAGCAAACGACGACAGTGTTTAAACAGTGCTAAGGAGTTGCACCTGTATGATATGGTAGAAATGGAATGTAATTTGTTATCATTCTTTGATTCACTCTCTTTACTGCATTGTTTTATTTCTGAATCCCATCAGATTACTTCCCTCCTTTTGACATATCCATTTTATACTGCTGATTTTTTATTCTCTGAGCTAGGAAATGTAAAACTTACTGAATTCACAGGAGCTCCAACTTGCCAGTTTTCTTTTCAGAGCATTTCGGAGACCCCAAGTATGACCCTGCTTTCTGCTTGTCTCCTTCCARTGGTCCCCTGGTGTGGCCAAGATGGAAGCTCCATGTCACCACATTGGCAACTAGATTACCTGAGCAAGGCTTAGTTTTGTTAGGCCACCTYGGTAGGCGAGTTCTCTGTATCTGCCTGTAGCAGAGGACTCCTGGGTGTTGGTAATGTGCCCCCCAAAATGTAACAGTGGTCAAAGCTAATTTAATTTTCTAGCAAATAGAAAATAGTAACAGAATTAAGATACCTGACTCATTTTTTGTTGTAACGATGTTGGTTATTATGGTAGGTTATTATGGTGTTTACATGTGCCCACATGTGACCATATGGCTTGCTGGTATGGCTGCCAGTAATCATGGCATTTGTGTGCTACACGTATTAATATATATGTATTAGTACTTCAAGATTTCTGTTTAGAATGATAGCTAACATCCTGCATAGGAGTCTCTAATACAGCTGGAGAATTAATGAGAGAAAGCCCAAGAAAGTTTTGGGGTATTTTAGAGGTGCAATCTGCCCTGTTCTTTTCCCTCATTCTGTTTTCAGCACTAGGAATTCCTGACCCCAAGCCAAGTTCATCCTCTCAGTCAGCTCTTCTGGGTCCAGGATGCATTTAGTTGTTTGCAGTTCACATCTTCCCTTAACTGCTCTAGCAATGGAAGATGAAGTAAAATTGCTTACCTGCAGTCTTTTAAAAACAGGGCGAAATAGAAGCATTTCCCGTTCTTCTTAGACAAGCCTTCTGCTTAGAAACACTTTCGAAGTTAGACAAATATGTGGTTTACTAAATTCAGAGCTGTTTTTCTCTCTTCCCTTCACCTAACAAAACCCACATCCTGGGTATCTAACTATTGGTGTGACAACCTCCTAGCATCATTTTGAGTTTATAATGCAAGATTCAGGGTAGAAATTATATGCCGTGACTCATTTTAACCTTCTTATTTTATAAATCTCAAGAATTCCCACCTCTGTTTTCTTTCACATATGTTTTGGTCGTCCTCACTCTCTTTCTTTACTTGGGATTAAGGTGAAAAGTTTAAATGTGCATCTGCCATTCGATACTCTTCCCAGGAAGCAGCATCTACGACTTCTTGATAACTTAAGAGAAGTTAGAGAAAGAGCACTGACATAGATTGTCTGCTGCTGGGAACGCTGGACATCCCCTGTAGACCATATCAATTTCAGTTCATAATTAACCGCTACCAATATTTCCAAGTTCTTTTTCACTCACCATTTGGTTTTCCTCTTGTCATTGGCTTCATCACATTCAAGTGATTTTAAGGCATCTCCATTCAGCCATTATTGTAATCCCTAAACATCTCCTAATATTTATTGTAATCATGTTTTAAATGCTTCTCTTTCAGTTTTCTTTCAGCTACATCTGTTGCAATATGTCTTGCATTTCATGCTCATGTTGGCAGCRATACAGAAGAAACTTACAGACAAGTTGAACTGGCTCCACAGGTCTAAGTTCATAAAAATTAAAACCTGTAAACCCCAGCAGCATCACTTTCTGCATTGTTAGCTCTACCAGGATCCTCCTGGCTGTCATTATGCTTGTACAACAGATTTCACACATYGAATCTGTGAACCTGAGATTTACTGGGGAATAAATTATTTCATATTCAGATTTCAGAAACCGTAGCTGAATGAAACTTCCAAGAGAGTTGGAGAGATTTGCTTATCTCCTGGGTAAATCTACTGTAGTAGAAAGATTTTTGACATTCCTYATGAATGGTTTTAATAAAGATAATAAGGATTTAAAGCACCATGTGTTACAAAACACATTGTCTATTCACCATGTCTTATAGAGTCTTTCTTTTGCATCACTCCATTTTTTCCCTCACAGATGCCCATTTCAAGTAGGAATAAGGCGTTTAAGCTTTCTTTTCATCATCTCTTTCAAGATTTCAGTGGAAAAAAAATGCCACATTCTTTTCTACTTTTTACTTGTGTCAGTTGTTCCATAATTCTGTCAATTAAGGAAACTTAGAATAATTTTTCTTTTTACCTTTTGACACAAGTAAAAGTTAATGCTCTTATATGAGCCATTCTGTTATAAGCCCTGGCATCATTAGGAAAAAGGAGTTTGGTAGCATGGGTACATCATATGTTGTAAAGCTTTTCTCTAGTGGTCCAAAGAAAAAGATCTTTGATTTTTTTTCCTTTTCTTTCTGAACGTACTGAAAAAAATGCTGGAAGGCCTCCTATGTTTTTTCTCTCAATAGAACATATCGAAAATCATATCCTTGTAAGAGTACAAAGAGTCAAATTTAATGCATCTTTGGGATATTCAAGAAATGCAAGAGAATCTTCAAAGTCTTGGACTGAAAATCTTTTCATGGTGACATTTGCAGAATAGTTAGTTTAAAGTTTTAGAAAACTAGCATTTCTGTCCTCTCCTCATTCAGCCTATGTTGCCTTCAGCTGCATTAATAATTGAATTAAGTAAAAAAAAAGGGGGGAATTGTTTTCCATATTAATTTTTCTTTAAGAAATTGCTGCTGTTTTATTAGCTGTTTTTTCTTCCTTAAGGTTGGCTCTTGCTACTTCTCATGAGACTTGTCTATACCAGTGCACATCTGCGTACAAAAGCATCCTTATTTGTGGTTAGTGGTAGGTTCTCTTTGTATTTAATAAAGAGCTGGAGGGACCCTGCTTATTAAAAGGTTCCTAATGTATTTGATGAAGACCATTTTTCATTCTGCCAGTCATCTTTGGCACAGTTTTCTACCAATTCATATAGCTATGCTTCAAATGTAATTTTTATGGTGTAGGATACAGGCATTCTGCAGTCCAACAGAGGGGGCTGAATTCAATAAAAATACAGGTCTTGCTTACCACATCCTGGAAATCAGTGACTTGAAAAAGGTGTTAGAGTTGTAGCACGTTGCCAAATGACTATGAGCTCTCTGTAAAAAGCTGCAGTTAGCAGAGCTGACACCATCTTTGAGAGGCCAAGTACGAACATATCTGATAAAAATAGGAAGTTAATATGACTATATCCAGCACGAAGGAGACCGTTTCTACAACACTGTGCTTCATTTT